CTCCACCGAAGGCCCCAATGGCGGTGTTCACATGCGTCTCCCCCATCCTGTACAGCGCTACGTGGCTCCATATGGAGCTCCACCGAAGGCCCCAGTGGCGGTGTTCGCATGCGTCCCCCCCACCGAGCACACCGTTTCGTGGCCCCATCGGGACCTCCACCGAAGGCATCAGTGGAGGTGTTCGCATGCATCTCACCCGCCCAGCACAGCGCTTCGTGGCCCCAAAGGAAGTTCCGCCAAAGGCCCACGTGGCGGTGGAGCTCCACCGAATGCCCCAGTGGCATGGTTCGCATGCCGCCCCCCCTCCACTTTGGCACGCCCCTCGCACGCTTCGTGGCCCCGAAGGGAGCGCCACCGAAGGCCTCAATGGCTGCATCCGCTTGCGTCCCCGCTCCATTTCGGCACACCCTTTACACGCTTCGTGGCCCCATACAGAGATCCACCGAAGGCGATACCCACAACGGCGATACTCACAGCTGCATGTGGTCGGCCCCTTCGCCCGGATAAGTTGTGCATGCGATGTGAAGGGCGCCTCTCGGGCCAGCGTCCTGCAGTGCCAGGGCAGACCCGCGGCGCCTGGCTTCAGAGACCAGTGGCGAAGGATCGAACCTGGGCAATTCCCCAGCTACTGTGATATGGAAGATCGCGGATCTGTCGTTGCTAGCGCGCTCGCAGAGCGGACTCGTAGCTCAATTAGCCCAGGGCCCTGAAAAATGATGCGAGCCAGAATGAGCGGCGGCAGAGAGCGGGTGAGGAGAGCAGCGAGCCTTCTGGAATCACAGCTACAAGCCGGCGCTGAAGGAGCTCACGCTGGAGGAGCCCAGCGCCCTGTCCGCCGACGAAGTGCAGACGCTCGCTGCGGCCCCCAAAGGCGAGCAGAGGCCACGGGTGCGGGCGGGCGCTGGCCGCCCCCCGCCGGACAGCCCCGGGAGGCGAGAGAGTACGTTTTCGCCGCGTGCGGGCTGCAAGTCGGTGACGCGGATCGAGCTCGGGCGCTGGGCAGGGAGGCTGCTGATGCAGATGCCGACGCGCACGCCGACGCGGAGTACGGCTCAGACGACAGCCGGGGCAGCAGGGACGGCGGCTGGTAGATCTGAGCAGGGGCCAGGGGGGCGCTTTCCCCCCCTCTTCCCCTTCCCTCCTCGCCTCCTCTTTTTTCCTCCGCCCCTCCTCCGAATGCGCTGGGTGGAGAAGCTGTTTCCGAGCCGTCGGCGGCCTCCTTTTCCTCCCATTTCCTCCGTCCACTCATCTTCAGTCCTGCTGTTGCTCCACTCCCTCGGTCAGACGAAGCACAGTTGACCCTTGGGCACTATCCCAAGGGTGGGCCCCACCCCACTCACCCGTCTAGCCTAGCGAGCAACCACGCCGCAGTAGTAGTATGCCGGCGGTGGGGGACGACGACGGGCGGCGCTGAAGAGAGGGGCCGAAAAACACGACCTGCGTGACACCGTCTCCAGCTCCGATCAGGACGTTCTTGGAAGCTTGCCTGCAAGAAGAAGGGCAGGCACGCTTCTCTTTGCGATTGTCTGGCTGGCACTCCGACCTAATCTTAACGGCAGTCTGGGTCCCGACACGCTCCGCACCTGGAGCTGAACAAAACAGGGAACCCAGACTCGACCACAAAACGCGTTATGGAGAGAGTGTCCGAAGTGGCCAGGCTCTCCGATGACCTCACGGATCGGCAAGTTGGGCGCCATCATGGGATCTCCGAAGTGACCAAGCTCTCTGATGACCTCACGGATCGACGAGTTGAGCGCCACCATGGGGTCTTGGTGGGCGACACAGATCTGAAACAACTACTGCACCTCAAATGGTCAATACTCAAGTGGTGTACGTGCGGCGACGTGGCTGGTATCTTTGCACGGGGTAAAAAAACCTTTTGTCAAGCTCCCAAGGCAACTCAGCAGGGGAGGGCCATAGGACAAGGACCTTGGGAGGGCCGCAGGTTAGTCGCTGGGGGGTCGCGGCGCGGAGCGCGGGTGGGTCGCGGGGCGGGTGGCGGGTGGATAGCAGGGCGGTGGGGGGCAAGAACATGAATCTGCACCGTGGAGCCCCACGTCAGCCACGCACCCCGGAACAGTGTATCCCTTCGGCCTCCTTCCCTGCCAGATGCAGATGTACATGACAGCGTATACGAATACAACATGGTGCTCAAATGGAGGCTTTCGGAGATCCGCGCGGATGTCGCGGGTCCGCTGGGCCTCCCCTCCCGCTCTGGCGCACAAAGCGCCCCAGGGGCGGCGCCGGTGCCGCCGCCAGCTGCGGGGGGTCTGGCGCCGACTCAAGAAGGCCGCGCGGACCTCCGAAAGATTGCGCACGTGCCTCGTCTGGATCCTCGAAGCTTGGCTTAGATCGGGCATGTCCCCCTACAGGCGGATTTTACAGGAGAAACGAAAATCTGAAACAATACTCCAAAATAGCCCCCCAAAAAAATAATCGGACAATCGTTCCAGATTATTTGTTCTACTATTTGTGGGTTTCCTCCTGTAGAGGGACACGCCCGACGTAAAGCTTGGGCTGGCAGCCACCAAAAACCAGGCGGTGCGAGGGGGGCGGCCTACCTAGAAGGTGGTGGGGATTCCAGAGGCCTCTGCCTGCCAAGAAGCCCTCCGCCTTCCGAGAAGCCCCCCAAAAGTGCCCCCTCCCCCGCTTTGGGGGCGCCGCTGGTCGGAGGTGGGGAGGCGGGGTCGAGGGTCGAAAAGGACGGGGAGGGGAGTGGAGGGGAGGGGAGGGGAGGGGAGGGGAGGGGGTATACACGGGGGATATGCAGGCATGCACACACCTATACATACATATATATATATATATATATATATATATATATATAGGGAGAGAGAGAGAGAGAGAGAAAGACAGAGAAAGACACGTATATATGCATATGTATGTATACACACATGTATGTGCGTGTGTACATGTATATGTATATGTATATGTACGCATGCGTGTGTCTACGTATACATGTACACATACATACATGCATGCATGCATGTATACATACGTACATAGGTACACAGGTACATAGGTACATAGGTACACACGTACATACGTACATACGTACATACGTACATACGTACATACGTACATACGTACATACGTACATACGTACATACATACATACATACATACATACCTGCATGCATGCATCCATACATACATACATGTATTCATACAGACATACGTACATGCATACATACATACATTCATACATACATACATATATACATATACACATATATATAGATGTATATATACATACATACATACAGTTGTACTTACATGTGTACACATATATATATACATACAATCATGCATGCATACGTACGTACGTACTTCAATACATGCATATATACATATACATACGTACGTACATAAATGCATACATACATACATACATACATACATACATACACACATACACACATACATACATCCATACATCCATACATCCATACATCCATACATCCATACATCCATTCATCCATACATCCATACACCCATACATCCATACATCCATACATCCATACATACATACATGCATACATACATACATACATGCACACATGTTCCCTACCAACTGAGACAGAAAGAAAGGCTCAGACCTGAGGGTCCGAGCCAAGGGCCCTCAGGGGCCCACTGGAGCCTCACCTGTTTCATCTTTCACTCTGCGTGGAACGGAGGGCTGGGCTCGACGGTCGTGCACAACATCTTGGTACCAAGTGAGCACTGCCAACTGCAGCCGTGGGTCGACGGCACAAGGGAGGGTGCGCACACATAAATTCCAAGCAAGACTCACAGAGAGACGCGGGGGAGGAGAGGAGGAGGAGGAAGAGCTTGAGCCGAGCACGGCGACGGCACGGACGTGCTCGTGCTTCGCCGCGCAGCGGCCATCCTGCAGTTGTGCAACACCGCTTGGAAAGCTAATTTATGCACACATGCTCCCTACCAACTGAAAACAGAAAGAAAGGCTCAGACCTGAGGGTCCGAGCCAAGGGGCCTCAAGGGTCCACTGGAGCCTCACCTTTTTCATCTTTCACTCTGCGTGGAACGGAGGGCTGGGCTCGACGGTCGTGCACAACATCTTGGTACCAAGTGCACACCCATTTCCATTCTGGATGCCCTGGCAGCCGCCCATGATCATCTCGAAACCACAGTCAACATTCTCTGATGTTCCAGCGCATCCGCGGACTGAACCAACCACTTGGCGAGGCCAAGAGCGAAACGTGATGGGTAGGTCTCAGCAAGCCGTGACCGACAGATGCTAGTGCCTGGAATCTTGCCCTGGAGCTCAACGTGTCGCATGTGACTGAAGCTGCACAAGCCCTTGCGTCCCTGGCATCGGCGGGACATGGAGGGTGGTGGCAGACGCACGTTCCAGCCCACAAGCTTGGTGGGCTTCCTCCACGGGCTGCCGAAGGCGCACATGTCAACGATTGAGATCCTGCAGCTCGGCCTCGCCAACAAGGGAGACAACGTGGGGTGAGACCAAGCCATAGACGACGCGGGGTTCTCCAGTAGCACTGGCACTCCAGCGCGCAAGCAAGCGGACAAGAGGAGCAGCATCCCACGGAAGGTGGCGCTGCCTGCGTCCACTTTCGCCTGCTGCGCCAGAGTAAGGCCCGGCCGACCGTCCAAGAATTCAATGTTACGATAGAGAAAATGAGAAGCCATCGACCACGTAGTACACGGAAATGCAATCATGACTCCTCTCACCACTCGGCTGCTGATCCATCCAACGAGCAGTTTGATCAAATTCGGGTCTGTCATATCCATGGCCACAGAATCTTTGAGATCGACGGGGATACAACCGAAATCTGAAATACGACGAATTGAATTGGCAACCTTTCCAGCACCAGAGAAGACATCAAGATACACCTGTGAGTGACGAAGTCCTCGAGACAGCTCCTCCCGCAAGATCCTGGACATCAAGCGTCGGACAGCTGCCCCACTGATGCGCTCAACGCGCACGACCACGTCACCGTCGCGATGCACCAGATCCCCTCTCAGAGCAGAGCCTCGCCCTGCTGGCCGCGCCGACGCTTGAGGGCGCCGGCCCAGGCCGCGGGGGGCCTTCGCCCGGTCACGTGCTCGCTGAAGTGGGCCTCCACGTCGCTCGCGAAGTCCCTGAGCTCTCGCGACACCTTCCCGAGCTCGGCCAGGTAGCGAGTGTGCTTATGATAGCGGGCTGTGCTGGCGACGGCGGCGTGGCGAAGCCGCTCTTGGACTTCTGGCAACGTCCGCCGTCTGTGGAAGATGTCGTGACTTGCTGACCCGTGGCGGATCTGATACGGATGGAGCCGCGGCCGCCCGATGGCCTCGGCTGCGGCCTTGAACCACTGTCGAAACTGGTGCGCCGAGAAGCCCCGCACTTTGCTGTCGTCCGCAGTCTGGGCCTTGAGCCTCCGCAGCACCCCGCCGATGGACAGCGCGGCCGCGGAGTCCAGGAGCATGCCCTCGTCGTGGCCGCCCACCTTGCTGCGGCCCATCCCCTCCTCTGGACACAGGAGGAGCCCCCAGCACCTGCTGGGGCTCCCGCTTGCAGGCGGCACGAGGCTGCGACCGGTCATGCTCATCAGATCGACCGGGACCCGCAGCGCCCCGCCCCACGCTATCGCGAGACCGATGCTGAACTCCAGCGGGGCAAAGTGGAGACTGGCGCCGATGATCGCGAACAGCAGTGGCTCCGGCATGGGGGTGCGAGAGCACCCTCTGGCCAGCCGGCGGAACCCCTTCAAGGCCGCCCGAAGTCGAACAGGATCTCTTGGCCCGTGCCGAACAGCCCGGGGGTCGTGCCAACCGATGGACGCCAACAACTTGTCGCCGCGCTCGTGGTTGTAGCCCGCGAAGTAGAGCCAGTCCACGTACTGGGCCGCGGCCCGATCCAGCGGGTCGCCCAGCTCGACGGGCAGCCTCCGCTCCAAGCACCACTGCTGAAACTCCTCCCACTCCTTCGTCAGGTAACGGGCGGTCCCCTTCCTGACGCGGTGGGCCTGCAGGAAGGCGAGGTTGCTCGGCTCCAGGTCGCCGAGAGGCGCGCTCGCAGCACGCCTGGCCACCCCTCGCTGGGCCACTTGAAGACTCATAGAGCGGCCCGTCTGAGGAGGCGGCCGACGGGACGTCGTGGGAGCCGAGGCCATCACCCCAAGCGATGGGGTCGTCGTCCAAGCCGTCGAGCTCGTCCCCCGTAGCTGAGCTGCTCGAGGAACACGAGGCCTCATCAGGCGGCCCCCCGTCACTTCCCCGTTCACCGGGGTGGAAACCCTGGAAGCCCCTCTCGAGGTCGGCCGGACCAGCCGCCCGCCCCTGACCTCCATGACTCGGGCAGCCCGAGGTGCCGAGAGCAAGATCCTCGATCGCGTCCTTGAGCCGAGCCTTGGCTACGTTAGCATACAGGCCAGGAGGAACTGATGCACGTCCTGGAACAGCCCCGGCATCACAAAGGGCGCCTGGGAGTCGAAACGCAGCACGTCGCGGATCGAGTCGGGGACCCTGGACAACCTGACCCGGCATTCGAGACGGCCGATCGGCAGGGTTCAACTCCGAGGGCATCCAGCGAACGACGATGTCGAGGTCCCCCATGATACTAAGGGCGCACAGCTGGCGGCACGTGCGGTTCATGGACTGGGGCGCGGCACGCCCCTTCCCCGAGGCCAGGACGACCGGGAGGTTGTCGACTAGCACCAAGATCCTGGACCCCCGAGACCTCAACGCCCTAGCTCGATGACGAACTCCAACAAGTAGCCCCCGTCCCTCGAGTCGACCGATGTGCTCGGAGCCCCAGAACCTACCCTTGACCAAGAGCTTCCAATCCTCCTCCACCCCAACATCCACCTCGGTCAACTGAATAAACGACGTAGTACCTCGGCGGCGTCGGCGTTCAGCCTTGTCGAAAGCGGTCTTTGACGAAACGGAGTCCCCGACCGTCCCAAGGGCGCGCTGGCGAGCAGAGATGGCTTCGTCGACAGAAAATCTCCAGGACTCCGAAACACGAGTGGCTGAGACAACACCGACGGCTTCCCATCTTCTAGACACGACTCCGAATCCCCCGCCCCCAGTAGCTCCTCCGGTAGAGGCGTCGGTGGCAAGGACTTCAGGATCGATGAGACGACGACACTGGATTTGAGCGAACACGATCAGAGCGGCACCCATCCTCAATTCTTCCTCCACTTGGGGCCAGAGGCGCCGACGGCGCGGCCCGGCCCACTCAGAGAACTTATACGCCGAGGACAGGATGGACATGAGGGGCCTCCGAAGGAGCGCGGCCCACGTGAAGCGCCCCACGAGGATCATCAGCTCGTCACCGCTGGCCCACCCCCTGTCGCAGACGTGGAGGAAAGCAAGCCTGGCGCGCCACATGCGCTCGCGGGACACGCGGATGGCCCCGGCCTTCTGGTCGAAGACGAGGCCTGTGAACTTGACCTCGCTCGTGGGCTCCTCGAGCCCCTTGCAACGGAACCCGCCCTCCTCGAGGGATACCAGCACCTTCTTGCCCAGGTACACGGCGGGGTGCCGATCCTGGCTGACGACGGCCACGCCGTCGACGTACACCGCCACCTTGGGCCCGCTCTCCAGCTCCGGGACCCCGTGGCGGCCCCGCACGAAGTCACACCGGGGGGCGCCAGCGGCCCGAACGCGGGCCTCCACCGCCTCCTGGCAGAAGTACAGCGACCACGAGAAGCCCATGGCGAGGACCAGCAGCTGCGGAGTGGCATACGTCCCCTTGAGCTCGCTCGGCACCAGCTCGGGGCGCAGGCGTCGGACCTCTCGGAGATCCACTCGAGGAAGACGGAACCACTCCTCTAACCCCCGTGGGGCCAGCATCCTGTAGAAGGCACTCTCCACGTCCATCTGGCATACGTGCAGCTCTCTGTCGACGTCCATGGACGCACGAGCCCAAGCGGACCCAGTCGGGAGCTGAACGTACTCGGGGGTCTCGAAGTATTGATTAACCTGTCTAGTGTCAAAGATGATACGGCAATCTCCATTAGCTTTGCGCACAAAGAAGAGTCCAACAGTGGCGGAAGCAGGCGTGGTCAAGTTCACCAAGCCCTTCTCAAGCAAGAGGATAATGAATTCAGCATACTGACTAGGGTCACCCCGCAACGTCTCGTCAACGTAAGGTCTAATTGGCGCAGTGCCCGACGAGTCCTGACGCAAGATCCGACTCTCCCAATCTACCCAATAATGGCGAGCATTCCCCTCCAGCACCTGGGTGAGGTCACACGACGGCGTCGAGGAGGGCAAGGAGAGCTTCTCCTTCTGGTAGCGGGCTACTGGCTCCGACTCTGAGTAGCCGGGCAAATTTCGGCACAGCTCGCGATGGGCTGCCGCCGCGCTGAACGGTGGAGGTCCAGCCAAAACTATAGAATCTCGAAGGTGTCGAACGCCTGCAGCCTGAGCTGCCGACTGCCCCTCCGGGGCCTCGAACTCGGGCCCAGAGTAGAGCGAATTCAGAGCACGCAGCGCCTCGGACGTCCAGCCGCCCACCGCCGCGGCCTGTCGTCGACGAGACCGCACCGACCTGCAACAGCCAGTCGACTCAGGTCTCAGAGGCAAGCTGCGGGCAGCGGCTGGAAGCAGCCCCCGAGGCGCGGGGCCGAGAGCCGTCATTTTCCCCGGCCCCGACCCTTCGGACCAGAGCCGCCATCTTGTCCTCCGTCATCGGCCACTCCAGCCGCCTTCAACTTATCCATCAGCCGCTTGATCTCGGCCGACTGGTTGCTCACCTTCTGCTGCAAGGATCGCCCGTCGGCACTGCCCGCGGCACCGCCAGGGCCCCGTGTCAAGGCTCTCTCCTCCCGCAGCTTGCGCCGCTCCTTGGTCGTCATCATCTCCTTGTGCAACTGTTCTGACACGTGGTCCTGGAGAAGTGGACACACCATCAAGAGGCCGCGGGTCTCGGCGGTGCCGAGGTATAGAAATTCATCTTCAAGTAGTTCGTCGCCGTCGCCCCGACCAAGGATTCGGTCTCGGTAACGCCACTCAGCCATCTGGGCGCGACGCGCCGCCACATACTCCATGATAGCCAACTCTGGTAGATTGAGTTGGTCGTAAGAGGACCCTATCTCGAAGAGCCTCATGCACAGCTCGTGGTCCGAGACGCCGACGTCGGTGATTGACAGGTTACACTCGTGCTTCCAGCGGGTATGT